GTTACCTGTCCGGCGGTCCTGTGTCCCTTAAAATAGCAGGATTCAGTCTCGCGGTTGCGGAAGGCGGCGGAGTTGGCGGCGATGCGTCCTCGTCGTCTTCTTCGTCGGTCGCGTCCCCATCCTCTTCCTCTTTGGCTGCCGTCGTGCAACCCCTCTCGCTAGGACTAATTAGGCCGTCATCCTCCACGCAGTCGCCTTCCTCCGCCTGGAGGTCTGCGCCGGGCCCTGAGCCTTCGACTCCGTCCTCCCCTGTAATTTCAAAAATCGTACCGGTCGTTTCAGTAGAACTTTCGACGAGAACGAGACGTACGACGATTTGCGGTTAACCGTGCAAATCGGAGTACGGTGGACTCTCGATTTTTTAGTTAGATTTCACCGTACGAAATACAATACGAATCGAAATATCAAAGTTTGGAACTATCGAACTTGTTGTTAAGATGTTTTTTTTTATAATTTCTGACAGGATGAATCAAAATCGACTTCTGTTCTATTTATTTAAATTTGTGATAATTTACATGTGGAACATCTTCCATGTGGTATCCACATGTTAAAAATTTCACGTATTTATGTGAAACATTTAACATGTATCGACACTTAGATCGTTTCATGAAACCTATATCACATTTCAATTCTATTCTTCTTATTTGGTCGTGCGACCACACGTGCTCCAAAATATTGAATCGGTTTCCAATTGCAGTGTTATTGTCAAGAACAAAAAACAATAAAAAGTTGGCTAATCCCACATTATTAAAATAGCTGAAAACTAATGAATCTAGTGAAACTAATGATTCACGAGTTTTGCTCATTCGGTTTCACATACGAGATTGTTTACAATTTTCGATAAAAGAAATATTCTCAGCTTTCCATTTTGTTAGATGATGCGAAAAAGCAAAAGTCAAAGTAGAAGCTTCATGTTCTTTAAAACGTGGCCAACATGGATCGTTATACATACTTTTTTTCTTTAACAAAGTTACATCAGTTTAAATTATCGACAATTTCTCGTATTGTCATTGTACACTGTATTTTGTATCACGAAACCTAAATGTCGATACATATGCTTCAACGACGTAGAGATCTTCAACGAGAGTTTGGTCCCAGTCGACGTCTTTGACGACGTCAGACAGCTCAACGGCGAGTGATAATGAACGTAAAAATCGAGCATCAAAGACCCTCTGCAGAAGGTTCCAAGTTGCCCCCGAACGTCGAATCGAGGATCCACCGTGCATACGATGCGGGGAAAGAAAAGGAAGAAGTTAGAATCGACGCGTCTCGTAACCATTCGTCGTCTCCGCGGCTGAATTTGGAAACGATGAAAGGGCCGGGAGGGGGTTGGAAAAGGATGGGAGGACGGTTGGCGTAACACAATGCCGTTATCGGTTCATTTATCGGTCTTTCGCCGGGGCCACGACGCGACGTCGACGTGGCGAACGACGCCGCGACGACGTTACACGCCGCTGTTGCATCGAGTGTGTCGAGCAAAAGTCATCGCGAGCCATTGTCGTTGCGACCTACGGACTTCCGTTGCCCTTCCATTTGTGACTCTTAAACGAATCGAGCATTCGAGGACCGAAACGAGGCCTGTCGACGTGTTTCATGCCTGCTACAACACCTACACAGGCGCTGTTTTGCGGAGGTGAGATTGTGGCAGGTGGTCGTGATCTGGTTCGTTTGAGCAACAGACACGTAAAGACAAAGGACACGCGTTGGTCAAATAACCGCGTCTGTTGTTCAGAGGCTAAATGTATCTGAAGATAAAACTATTGCAAATCTAACAATAATTGAACATTATACTGATTGTAAATGTACGAACTGTTGGATCTCTGAGAATGTGGCTAGAGAAAATTGTATAGATATCAAGGATGAGAATGGCAAATAAATTATGATAAAATCTTATAGATACTCTAGATACCAACTTTTCAGCTTCTCACTTTCATTACAACGTTTCATTAGTAGCTGAAAAAGTGGCAGTTGGTTGAGATCAACATATTTGTAATAAAAAAAAAAAGCATTGACCAAATTTATTATGTAGAACCAGGTTTGTGCCCTACGTATAACGTTCCAAATGCCGCGTCTAGAGTATCCCCTCATCCTCGAGTTTCGATTCGATTAGTAGATCTTTGTTGCAACTTGGACACTTGGAAGCGTGTCTAGGCCACGTATATATATGAAATTCTACTGTTGGGAGCTAAAAAGATGACAGACGAACAATAGAACACACGCTCTGACGGAATGATCCCCATCTACTATTGAAAATCGCAGACAACAGACAACGTCAGACTTTAAAGCAAACAAAGTTGTTCCTGTGCAAGGTCAATTACAGACTTCTCAACAACCCTTGAATATTTGGTACATCTGTCCGATTAAACGCGATCAAACTTTATTAATGCAAACGTTGGATCAGATGCACCTGAGCTGAGAAATTGGTACCTGATCGTACATGGTCGTCCGCGTTATTTTTCCACCGATGATGCCTCGTCTCCTCTTGCTAGATGCTTTGTCCCGAACCGATCCAAGCGATCGGTCGTTGAATCGGATTTCCGGCCAAATCGAGCGCCATCTTGTCTCGTCTTGACGCGTCCTCTGTTCGAGATGGCGCAAGAACAGAGTCTCTCCTCGGGATCCCGGGGATCACCGGTCTCTCCTCTGGAGCGGAGCAAAAAGGAAGAAAGAGGCGGAAGGCAGTCACCTCCCTTCCGCGAGGGGTGGGGACAGGTAGAGGACGACCGAGCACCGTCCTACTTTGCCGACTGGCCAACCAAACGATCGTTTGTTCGCCGATGGGCCACGGAGGACGAAGGAGGGAAAAAGAGATCGCGCGTCGATCCGGGCCGAGGCATCGGCAACTAATTACGCAGATTTATGTCCCCATTGTCCATTGTCTCAGCTGCGGGCCCCGGAGCCGGGCCCAGAGCCGGGCCCTGCTGCGTGGCCCTGCGCGACCGTGAACGGATTCGATGGAAGACGAAGAAGCTGCCTGTGCCGGTACCGGGTACCGGGAGGTGTGCTCTCCCGGAGGAGAGGAGAACGAAGCAACGGACCAACGACCGCGAAGACGGCCGGCGTCGACGACGCGAACGAGGAAGGACAACGCGAAGCAAACGCTCGCGGGTAAAAAGGGAACCGAGGAGGGCATCCGTGGATCGGTTGGAATCGGCTCCGGCTACCGAGAAGGGATACGCGACGCGACACAAATCGCGGACCAGGGCGGACCACCGGCACTCCACACGCTGGAGCTCCGCCCGCTCTCGCCGCAGCATCCCTCGGCCCATGCTTTTTCCCTTCTTTTCGCCTCAGTTTCGCCCACGAATCCCTCGTTCGCGCTTTGCTCCTCCGGTAAACTACCTACTTCGTCCTTCTTTCTCTTTTCTTTCTTCTTCTTTTTTTTTTTTTTTTTCTTAACTTTGTAGTCATTTCAATCTCGCCAAGGCAACGCGCCTTGGTTCTCGTCCCGGAACCGCGTGCACCAGGATGTCTCAAAGCTGCACTCGGCATGCAAATGCGAATGCGCCATAGCGAGCCAGAGAGTAGCTAGATGCTTCCACTGGCAGGTCGTTAACGAAGGAACTAGCACGGGGTTGCGTATTCACCGGCCGGGGAGGATACACGACGAGAGAGAGAGAGAGAGAGAGAGAGAGAG